AGCCCATTACTCTATTCAGATATATTAAAGTGTTTAGGGATGAATTCTAGGCCCAGTGGTTATAGATGGATGAATTCTAGGCCCGTATTACGCTTGGCACATCCTGTGATTGATTCCTGGCGCTAGTAAATTGCACGATGGTGGCTAGGGGAAGTCTGAAATGCCTTTATGACCCTTCTCGACCCCCGAAAGAGAAGACTGTCTTGGCGAAGCCACCAGCTGATCCCTTTTAAAAAAAAATTATATTAAAATGTTTATTCATCAATATTTTACCTAAAGTACCAGTATAAAGTCATTCTCCACTTACGTTGTAACACACAATTTAAATATAAATCTTGCACATATTCAAGTTTCACCCAATTATTAATCAATTTTAATGTGATCAATTGATGGGTATTCAAATTAGACATTTGACTTGTTTGTCCATAACAGCAAGTTTGGTAATAAGTCTAACATTTTTTTGTTAATATAGTTTAGTAAGGATAATAAATATATATTTTTAGAGTTGGTGTTGACTTTGTTAATAACTAGCCGATGAGCATTCATTATATTTTTTGTTTTTTTATTAAAGATTGTGATTAGTTTTTAAAATTTTAAAAAGAGTATGAAAAAATGATGGGGGAACAATTTCTCTTAATAAGTGCATATTTTATCTTAATATTACATAATTACTGTTTTGTCCTCATGTAAATATTGTGTATCAAAAGTGAGGGTAAAATAGGGATATGATTGTCATTTTCTCAAAAGATACAAAATTAATATTTTGCCCTCCTTATGTAAGTATTGTGTATCAAAAGTGAGGGCAAAATTGGAAAAAATGTGGCGAAAAGTTGACAAGGAGGGTTCTCTTAATAATAGTACTAGAAGATGAGCACACACTTTGTGTGCGAACAATTTCATTTTCTTTTTTATTTTTTATTAAGGAGTGTGATTAGTTTTTAAATTTTTTAAAAAGAGTATGAGACAATGATGATAGGATCTCTTAATAAGGGCATATTTTTCTTAATATTACATAATTACCATTTTGCCCTCTTTATGTAAATATTGTGTATCAGAAGTGAAGGTAAAATAAGAAAAAATGGGGATATGATTGTCATTTTCTCAAAAGATACAAAAGTACTATTTTGCCCTTCTTATGTGGCAAAAAGTTGACAAGGAGGATTCTCTTAATAGAATAGAAATAGATATATAGACAATGTACAAATTGAGCTTATATGATATTTTCCCTAAAAAATTGTCAGTATAAGCATATTTATAGATTACATGTGCCTATCATAAAAGTAAAAAAAAGAGACATGATTTCTTTCTTTCTTTTTTGGGCCTTTCATGTTGATTAAGTGGAGGTTTAAATTTGAACTAAAACTCGTTTGGAAATGCTTTTAAAATAATTGAACACGCTTTTAGAGAAATGTTTTTGGGTTCCAAAAACAATTCAAGTGTTTTTCCACATTTTACTAAGGATTGGTTATAAAAACATTTTCACCAAAAACTCTTTCAGTCATTTTAAAAACACTTCCAAACGAGTCTTTAGCTGTCACGTGTAGTTTCATTCTATTGTCTACATAAACTGACTATTCATATGCAAGAACTAGAAAAAAACAGCGGTTTGAATCATGATCAATGAATATGTTTTGTTGGGGAAAAGATACGGAAATTCAAAGATTCACTTACCAATCAAGTGGAGCAGGAGTAGGTAGGTGCAATGGGTTTTGGGCTGCATCATGCCCGCTGTAATGCTAAATGCCATAGTGACCGCCATCACCAGACCTGATACAATTGTTATCGACAAACAATCTGCATTTGGGCATAGCTGCTCAGTATTTGGCTTTGGGTAGGTACATAATACATACTCTATAATGCTAATCGGCACAGCCCCATGTACTATGATATTGAACCGAGTTACAAGAACGAGTGAGGTGAGCTAAGAAAGGCCAACAGAAACGTGTTGGAGCTAACAATACCATAATTCCCGGGTGCAAATTGCAAAAGAGTACATCTAAAAGGATTCTCAACATACTAAGTAGAAAAATTAGTTACAATCAAGAGTAGAGTATGGTCGACTCGCAACTAATCAACACAGGTTCTGATTTAGAAAATTCAGTTTATGAGTTTATGCATGAACGAGACCATCAAGAAAGCTACCTGCAATTCTTGACCTAAATATATCTGGAGTACACCATCAGCTACTTGCAACCCTTAACCTACCTTACACTGCGATTAATGAACTTTTCCGATCATTTGATTGCTTAAGTTAAGTTGCATTGATTAGTGATTCTCTAACATTTTTTAGGTCATTAACTAATATATGATCAGAAATTAGCATCAGATTAACCATTCTTTGATATGTGACTCGAAGTAGCACCAAACTAAGCTAAGCTTACTCATTTTTTCATTTGTTGGTTTGTCAAATTTAGTATACGAGTGTCAAATGTCAATGCATGAATGAGACCATCACCACATGTAGTCTAATATTCTAGTGGATAGAGTACTGGATTTCTACTCTTGACGTGCGTCCATGTTTGAAACTCAAACCAAGTTCATGTTCGACAGCCGAGCTTATAGCTTTGGACGAAGAAAGAAGAGGAAGGGAGAAGATAGTGAGAGAACCTTATCCTGGAGGCTGTTGATTGGGTATCACTTCCGAGTGTGTTCTAAATGTTTACTTGGGCCGTTTATTACTCAGTCCATTGGGCTTGAGCGATAAGCCCACATCCGCGAGGGGTTTTGGTCCGGTAGGCTGTAGCCATGTTGTTGTCCGGCCGAGACTTACTTGGTGGGACCAAAAAGGGGTGGGTGAGGCAGATACTAAAAAAGTCTTCGGATTTGTTTTTTATTGAACATATAAACCATATCGACCACACTTATTATAATAACGCATGGATAATACACGGCGTGATTTGTGTTCCTTGTATTCATAAATCCAAATTTAGTATAGATTTTTAATAATTGGAATACATTATCTATCAAGATACCCAGAATCTAGAAACTATTTTTAATGGAGTACTTAAGTTTAGCGTGATTATTTTTCTATTTCTTACGAATATAATGAGTCATACAATGAAGCTCTAAGAGAGAGTCATTGAGCATAGATTGAGGCAAGAGACACGGGTTTTGGACAATCAATTCGGATTCATGCCAGGGCACTCAACCATTGAGGCAATCTATCTCTTACGAAGATTGATGGAAAGATATAGAGATAGGAAAAAAGATTTACACATGGTCTTTATAGATTTGGAAAAAGTGTATGATAACGTCCTAAGAGACATTCTTTGGAGGATTTTAGAGAAGAAAAGAGTACGAGTAGCATATATCCAAGCTATAAAGGATATGTATGATGGAACAAAGTCTGTCGTAATAACTCATGAAGGACAAACTGAAAGCTTCCCTATAACTGTAGGGTTACATCAAGGCTCATCCCTAAGTCCTTACCTTTTTGCATTGGTAATGGATGAGTTAACGGGACATATTCAAGATGATATTCCTTGGTGTATGCTTTTCGCATATGATATAGTGTTGATAGATGAAACTCAGGAATGGGTAAATGCGAAGCTTAACCTTTGAAGAGAAGTGTTGGAATCTAAAGGTCTTTGCCTAAGCCGATCAAAGACAGAATATATGGAGTGTAAGTTCAGTGCAAATGGAGGCCAAAATGAGTTAGGGGTGAGGATCGGAGATCAGAAAGTACCAAAGAGCGATTGCTTTCGCTACCTATGATGTATCTTGCAAAAGAACGGAGAATTAGATGGACACCTCAATTATAGAATACAAGCTAGATGGATGAAGTGGAAGAGTGCATCCGGCGTGTTGTGTGACTGCAGTATGCCACTGAAGCTCAAGGGAAAATTTTATAGGATGGCAATAAGGCCGGCGATGCTGTATGCCACGAAATATTGGACGGTGAAGCATCAACATGTACATAAAATGGGTGCAGTGTAGAAGATGATGCTTCGTTGGATGTGTGGGCATGGGAGAAATGATAAGATTAGAAATGAGGATATCCAAGGTAAAGTAGGAGTAGCCGAAATTAAAGGAAAGATAAGAGAAAATCGGTTACGGTGGTTTGGTCATGTGCAAAGAATGCCTACTGACGCTCTGGTTAGAAGATGCGACTACGGGACAGAGGTTCAAGGCCAAGGGGTAGAGGAAGACCTAGGAAAACTTTGGAAGATACTCTAAAAAAAAATTTAGAGTACTTGGATCTAACGGAGGACATGACACATAACCGAGCGCAATGGCGTTCTAAGATTCATATAGCCGACCCCACTTAGTGGGAAAATACTTTGTTGTTGTTGTTGTCTGTCTAACAAACCGAATAATTAGCGAATTTAGTGCAGATTGAGTACGACCACGATCACGTCATTGACCGATAGCTTTAACGTTGTTAATGTGTAAAATCTTGAGGCTGAGCCACCTTTGGCCTCTGGTTCCTGACGCCGTTCATACTCTAAACAAGTTTATTTGTTATCCATCGTCTCAGACAATCAATTTGGAGTTGTGGACAAGGAATTTTGGAAGAAGAAGAAGAAGAGCAAGAAGAGCAACAGTAGAGTAGTAATAGGGATGAGGATTTTGGAACTTCCGACATATTGAATATTAGAAAGACATCTTGGTTTTAGTAGTTTGGGAAAAAATTCCTTTCCCAAACTTAGCCTGAGGCTCTGAAAAGTGAGCAATATGGCCAATAAAAAATGGTGTATCATCAACATATATCCGTACATATCTGAATAACATGTTTACATCTTAGGAATGACAAACAACTACAAAGTTTTATCCTACTATGTCCTAGAGCCGACAACAACATTGCATTAATCATGCCTTATTAAGCAATTACTAAATGAAAAGAAGCATTAGATTCAAACAATCTGCAAACTGCAGGGATGAAAATCGTTGCAATCTAAAATATAGGAAGAGAGTGGAACATTGTGGAGACTAATGGGACTGAAAACATGTTTTAGCCTGTTAAAGAGGGACAAAGTGAATGAAAATTGATTCTTGATTGACCAGAATGGTGCTGGTTTTGTTGGCCATTCATGGCAACAATACGCCGAGTCACTCTGACTCATTGACTGAAGTAAAATGTGGGGTGGCAATTAGGTACAACGTATTCTCCCTCTTACAGGCCACTCCAAAGCTCTCTGTCATGTCAAGTTCGTCTGGATTCATCCCATTCGCCAGTTTTCAATCGAGGCGGTAGAGCAATTCAGCAAGGGCAAGTTCAACCATGGTAACACCAAATGACATGCCTGGACACATTCTTCTGCCAGCCCCAAATGGAGTGAACTCAAAGTCAAAGCCCTTAAAGTCAACAGAAGAACCATGAAATCTCTCTGGCTTAAAACACTCAGCATCTGCCCCCCATATCTCTGGGTCTCTTCCTATTGCCCATGCATTAATAATTACCTTTGATTTAACTTGTACTTCGAATCCGCCTATTTGAACCGTGTCCCTTGCTTCTCTTGGGAGCAAAGGGGCTGGAGAGTGTAACCTCAGAGTTTCTTTCAACACCGATTTCAAGTAGTCCATTTTTTGAACATCTCCTCCTTCAATAACTTTTCTTTTTTTCCCTTCAAATTGGAGGACTGACTGTCTCACTTCAGCTTGAGCCCTCTTCATGATTCTTGGGTTTCTCATCAACTCTGACATTGCCCATTCTAAGGTAGTAGCTGAAGTCTCGCTTCCTGCAGAGAACATGTCCTGCACATAAAAATAAAAAAAATTCACTTAGTTAGACAGTAAGAACGACATTGATGTGTGGGACAAAATGTGCAGCATGATAATAATTGATTTTCAATTTGCGGAACCAAAATCATGTGTTTTGAAAACGTGAGAATAATTTTATAAAATGATGAGTGACGACGAAGAAAAAAATGTCTGCAGTACAACAAGGCAAGCCTACATTACTCACCATAATCCTATCTGTGATATGATTGGTTATGAAATTGAACTCCACCAAGTTGGACTCTTTAAGTTTTAGAAGTACGTCAACAAAATTTTCCTCCTCCACTGCTTTGTCATTGCTTTTGATTTTATGATCGTTGATGATACGTTCGAGAATCGTATTGAGCTTGCTTTTTATGTCTTTGAGAGCAGGAAACAAATCAGGAATATCAAACCCACTATCAAGTTTGAGTATTTCGTCTAGTAGCGAAAGGAACTCCTTTTGGTCTTTGCATTTTTTCCCAAATGCTGCCTTTGACACTACGCCACTTGTGAAGCTGCAGCACCTGTCCCCTAAAATTGATGGCAAGTCCCTCGTGAGACATTGGGCCAATGGACTCGGCAAGATTCCGTACCTCTTCTTCTCTCACGGATCTGAAAGACTGCACACGTGCCGCACTCAATAGCTCAAAAACGCAAATGTAAGCTCATGTGTCTTCAACACCTCCTGGCAGCTTTGCAGATGAAATAATCACGGCGTCTAATTGACCGAGTTTAAGGTACATGATGGGTCCATGTTTCTTGGCTAATCTCTGTTGAACTATAAGTATTTGAGCTGAAATGTTTTAGAATAAGTTTTGTTTAAATTGGTGAATCCACTTGTGCAGAATGAGGCAAGTGTAAAATGTCTAGTTTTGTAAAAGACCATGAGTGCCATGTGTTGGTAGATCCATGAATTAGAGAGATGTTGTGTCTAGGATGAAATGTAGTAGTTTATGTGGTCCCAAGTTAAGGACCTTCAGTAATGTAAAGCACGTGAGTGCTCATTTCTGGAATGAGAAGCAATATTCCTCTGTAAAGTTTCTGCAGAGAAAAGAACAAGAAACCGTTCGCTTTCTCCAACCTTTGTTCATCGTGTGTTTTCTGTACAGCTCCATCTTCATCAAACTCTCATTGAAATCAAGTTACACTAACAATCTCTCAGTGTTGGTGTGGCAGCTGACCGACCATTTGATGTAAGTTTCCACATAAACGGCAGCTTCCATGGCCCTGGGACTTTAGGCCTCCGGCTCTGATCGCTTTCCAAAAAATCACCAGGATGCAGACAAGAGAGAAGTGAAAAAGGAAAATAGGGCGTTTCGTAATTAGGAAACATAACTTGATCCAGATAAGCTTTGATCAATTTCATATTCGACTTTGGGGTATTTTACTTTGCAAATCAAAGCACTTCAATTTGGATTGATATGTTGAAAGGCGCTTAAGGTCCTCTCAACTTAAATACTATTTTGGACTGGAACAACAAAAAAAATAAATGTATTCGGAGTGCAAATGTGCAAAGCAAGTTCTTAAAATATCACATAATAATGCATGAGAGATTTTCAACCAAGATGCTTTAAGTTAGCCTGTACAATTTTCTATTTGTCAGTATCATAATCAATTTTTTATGATCCCCCTCACCCAACAAACAAACCTTGAAGTGAGGTGTAACATGGTCACTGCTGTTAGCTCTACTCAATATAATAGGTGTTATTCATCAATATTTTACCTAATTGTATAAGTATAAAGTCGTTGTCCACTTATGTTAACACACAAATTAAATATATAGCTTGCATATATTCAAGTGCAACAATAACTGATAATTTTAATGTGATCAAATTGATTGTATAAAATTAGGCCTTGTTAATATATTGTGAATATGTTCAAAAAAAAAATATTTGAATAATAATGTATAAAATGAGCTTATCTAATATAATTTTCCCAAAATTGTATTTTTATAGATTATTTGCCCC